GGGACAGGGGACACAGGGACAGGGGGACATGGGACACAGGGACAGGGGACACAGGGACACAGGGACAGGGGACACAGGGGACACGGGGACAGGGGACCCGGGGACACAGGGACAGGGGACACAGGGACATGGGACACAGGGAGAGGGGACCCAGGGACAGGGGCTCACCAGGGTGTGGAGCTGGGTCAGTCCCACCCGCCGTGTGACCCCAGGGACAGTGCCCAGGGTGTGGGGCTCACCTGGGTGCCGTGTCACGGTGTCCCCGATGTCCCCCGATGTCCCCTGATGTCCCCCGATGTTCCCCGATGTCCCCTGATGTCCCCAATGTCCCCCGATGTCCCCACAGATCCTGCAGACGGGGCAGGAGATCCTGGAGCTGGACACGAGCGGCTTCGCCACCCAGGGACCCACCGTGTTCGCCGGGAACCTGGGGGACGGACAGTACATCGTGCAGGTGTCACCCCTGGGGCTCAGGCTGCTCGAGGGAGGTGGGTCACACCTGGGACACACCTGGGGACACCTGGGGACACACCTGGGGACACCTGGGACACATGGGGACACCTGGGACACACCTGGGGACACACCTGGGACACACCTGGGGACATGGGACACACCTGGGGACACCTGGGACAGACCTGGGGACACCTGGGGACACACCTGGGGACATGGGATGCACCTGGGGTCACACCTGGGACACACCTGGGGACACCTGGGGACACACCTGGGGACACCTGGGGACATGGGACACACCTGGGGACACACCTGGGGACACACCTGGGACACACCTGGGGACACCTGGGGACATGGGACACACCTGGGACACAGCTGGGGGAGGGCCAGTACATGGTGCAGGTGTCACCCCTGGGGCTCAGGCTGCTCAAGGGAGGTGGGTCACACCTGGGACACACCTGGGGACACCTGGGGACACACCTGGGGACACCTGGGGACATGGGACACACCTGGGGACACACCTGGGGACACACCTGGGGACACACCCGGGGACACACCTGGGGATATGGGACACAGCTGGGGACACCTGGGGACAGGACACACCTGGGGACATGGGACACACCTGGGGACACACCTGGGGACGTGGGACACACCGGGGGACACACCTGGGGACATGGGACACACCTGGGGTCACACCTGGGACACAGCTGGGGACACATCTGGGTGTCCTGTCACCCCTTTCCTGGCTGCTGGAGGGAGGGAGGTGACAAGGGAGGGTGACACAGGGGGGTGACCGGGTGGGTGGCACTGACCCCACAGTGACCCCAGGGTGGTGGGTGACACAGGGGGTGACTCAGGGTGGGTGGCATTGTCCCCCCATGACCCCAGGGTGGTGGGTGACACAGGAGGTGACTGGGTGGGTGCCACTGTCCCCCCGTGACCCCAGGGTGGTGGGTGACATGGGGGGTGACTCCGGGTGGGTGGCAGTGACCCCTCAGAGGCACAACTACAGGAAGGGGGTGGGTGACAGGGGTGGGTGACACAGGGGGTGACCGAGTGGGCGGCATTGCCCCCCGTGACCCCAGGGTGGTGGGTGACACGGGGGGTGACTGGGTGGATGGCATTGTCCCCCTGTGACCCCGTGTCCCCTCCCCAGTGACACAGCTGCAGAAGGGTGGTGGGTGACACAGGGGGTGACTGGGTGGGTGGCAGTGACCCCACGTGACCCCAGGGTGGTGGGTGACACAGGGGGTGACCGGGTGGGTGGCACTGTCCCCCCGTGACCCCAGGGTGGTGGGTGACACAGGGGGTGACTCGGGGTGGGTGACATTGTCCCCCTGTGACCCCGTGTCCCCTCCCCAGTGACGCAGCTGCAGGAGGGGGGTGGGTGACACAGGGGGTGACTGGGTGGGTGGCACTGTCCCCCTGTGACCCCAGGGTGGTGGGTGACACAGGAGGTGACCGGGTGGGTGACATTGTCCCCCGTGTCCCCTCGGCAGTGACGCAGCTGCACTTTGTGCCGGTGGATTTGGGGTCCCCGATCGTTCACTGTGCGGTGGCCGATCCCTTCGGGGTCCTGCTCAGCGCCGAGGGCCACCTGGCCACCTTCACCCTCAAAGGGGACACCTACGGTGGCCGTGCCCCACGCCTGGCCCTGCTCAGGCCACCCCTGTCATATGTGAGTGTCACCTGTGTCCCCAATGTCCCCAAACCCCTGCCTTGCCCTGCTCAGGCCACCCCTGTCATATGTGAGTGTCACCTGTGTCACCTGTGTCCCCAAACCCACCTGAGTGTCCCCAATGTCCCCAAACCCCCGCCTGGCCCTGCTGAGCCCACCTGTGTCATATGTGAGTGTCCCCAACTGTCCCCAACCCCCCGTGTCATATGTGAGTGTCCCCAATGTCCCCAAACCCCCCGTGTCACACGTGAGTGTCCCCAATGTCCCCAAACCCCCGCATGGCCCTGCTGAGGCCACCCCTGTCGTATGTGAGTGTCCCCAATGTCCCCAAACCCCTGCCTGGCCCTGCTGAGGCCACCCCTGTCATATATGAGTGTCCCCAATGTCCCCAGCGCCCCCAAACCCACCTGAGTGTCCCCAATGTCCCCAAACCCCCACCTGGCCCTGCTGTGGCCACCCCTGTCATATGTGAGTTGTCCCCAAGGTCCCCAGTGTCCCCAAACCCCCCGTGTCACACGTGAGTGTCCCCAATGTCCCAAAAGCCCTGTCTGGCCCTGCTGAGGCCACCCCTGTCATATATGAGTGTCACCTGTGTCCCCAGTCTCCCCAAACCCTCCCGAGTGTCCCCAATGTCCCCAAACCCCTGCCTTGCCCTGCTCAGGCCACCCCTGTCATATGTGAGTGTCACCTGTGTCACCTGTGTCCCCAAACCCACCTGAGTGTCCCCAATCCCCCCCCTCGCCCTGCTGAGGCCACCCCTGTCATATGTGAGTGTCCCCTGTGTCCCCAAACCCCCCGTGTCACACCTGAGTGTCCCCACTGTCCCCAACCCCCAGGGCCCCATGTGAGCCCTTATGGGGTGTTCCCAGGGATGTCCCTATTCCAGTTCCCATTCCCATATTCCCATTCCCATATTCCCATTCCAGCAATCCAAGGTGACAGCGCTGTGCCTGTCCCGGGATCTCAGTGGGATGTTCCCATTCCCATATTCCCATATTCCCATATTCCAGCAATCCAAGGTGACAGCGCTGTGCCTGTCCCGGGATCTCAGTGGGATGTTCCCATTCCCA